AACTCCGGAACATCGTTGCGATACTTCCCTTTTTCGAACAAAACTGGAACAACAACCGGAATGAAAATGCTTGTTTTTCCAAACCAAACGTTTTTCTTTCTGCTGGACTGGAACTCGATCCGAAGCGAGAAAAATTCGAAAACCGGTTTTGTACCCGTTTCTTTCATTTTAGCGTGCCGGTAAAAAAATAGCACGGAACCACTGATTTCAGTTCATATATTGAGTTTATTGTGCATGCATCCAAAATTCTGAAGAAAATGTTGCTTAAAAATGATTTTAATTTATGTAGTCATGTCCTAATGATAAAAAATAACAACTAATTATTTAACAAAATAAGTGAGATGACCTTAATAAATGTTATAATGATCAAACATGAATTATTAATTAAGAGTCATCTTTGCTCGATGATGAGTCAAATGAGGACTAGAATTGCATGCTATATGAATTAAAGCCGTCTCTAATAAATGCCTTATTAATTCATTATTTAAACAACTATGTACCTTTATACAGGGTGTTTCAGAATTTAACGTCAAGTCGAAGCAGGGCGACAGGACAGGCCATCATAAAATTTTTTTGAAAAATATAATCCATTCGGTTTGAAAATTAATTAAGATCTAGATAACATTAATAGAATCATAGTGAAAAATAATGACAAAATAGTCCCAAATCTTTCACAATTAAGATTATTTGTTAAACGTTGAATTTAAAATTTATCGACTTTGAAAGGCCCTTATTTTAAAAAAAAGTGCCTTTAAAAGTTTGCGCAATTAATTAGGTTTGTAAAATGGTACCATATACATAGTAAAGTTTTTTAACTTGATAGTAAAAAAATAATTACCTCAAAACCCGTTTTTACTAACCCATTTTACTTCAATCAATTAATTTCAGCATCTGTCTCGCTCCCTAAGGGGCAAACATGCCCACTATCCATCTCTCAGTTTGCATTTTCAACTGGAAAAACCAAATTTCTAAATTTTTCTTAAATGCCATAATATTCAAACTTCATAGGATAGATTTTTTCGGATTTTCTATATGATGACTACAATCAATCCTGTAAACCGATTTCGGCTTGATTTTGATATCTGGGACACCCTGTATAAATGTACATATATATGCATATGTATATAAATATATGTATAAATATGAATAAATAATAAACTTACCCCTTCAGAAAGTGCTCGGATGAAGAATGTTTAGAGTCAAAGCTTCTTTCATCATACAAGGTGGGCATTGATCACTGCTGCATGCAGAACTAATGAGGTTGTAACCTCATCGAGATTCTTGAAATACGCTACTATGTTTCTTTCCCATTTCAAATTGTTTCAATTTTCAAAGAAAAACATTTATCCATCTTGATTTTGCTATCATGTTTTTGGTGTAATTAATTATTTGAAGTTGATTTGTTTTGTGACCCATATAAATACCATGTATTTCCCAGGTTCGATAATACTGAGGAAACAAATCTTGATCGCCCACATTTCAAATTTAAATCGAATTTATGAAAAAATTATATCAATCTATAAATTGCGATCGAGCATATGACTTTTTGAAGGCTTTAATCATATTTTTGGTGCTAATTAATTATTTAAAGTTGATTTTTTTGTGACCCACATAGATACCATGTATTTCCCAAGTTCGATAACATTGAAGAAACGAATCTTGGTCGCCCACCAAATTCTTCCATTACGCCCTCATTTTAAAATTATGTATAATTCGTGTAAATATAAAATTAGACGTGTAAATCAGATGGAAAACATATTTTTTTGTAATGTAACCATATAAAATAGATCTCCAATAAATTTTCCAAATTTTCCATAATTTCGGAAGCAAATATTGTCCGGTCTATCTAAAAACAAGATTTGAATACTGCGCCACGATTTTTTACCCCTCTGGCTACGATTTAGTTTCTCCTGGGGTTGTTTTCTGGGTTCTATTATTAATTATGATTTTTAAACTTCTGAACTAAAGGTTCCTTTATATACATATCCCCGAAACATAAAATGGAATAAAGAAGATTTTTTTAAAAATAAAATCAATATTTCGAAGAAAAAAAGGAGGCTTTTACAGAAGTTTGAAAATCGTAATATATAATTTATATAGAAATTAAATATACATATAATTTATATAGAAGTTACATAAAAACTATAAAGTGAAAATTGTGGTTAATGTGATAATTAGTACCTTGAATTGTCATTACTGTTTTTATCTCAACAATTAATCTTGTTTTCCTTGTTTAAATCAACAATCTAATGACTATTCATACATCCGTTTTTTCGCTCCTAGATACACCTGGGAACACAACTTTTTTTTTTATAAAGGTGATCTAAATAAAATTCATTTTTGCTATAATACTGACGTTTTAATATTGAAAATTTTACAACTAGTAAAAAAGCTGCAAATATATAAAAAGCTACAACACATATATAAGGCTTTTTGGCTTCGCGACATTTTTAAAAATTGTTCTGAAAATAGAATTTAATCTATAAATCTATAAATATAATGCACAAAAAATAATCTATAGATGAATTTAACAACGTTACACTAAATATTAAAAGACAGTGGCGATGTTAGATTCGCTCTGCCACTGTTATTAAAAATATTTATAATATTTAGAATATGTTCAATATCGTGGTTTTGGCTTTTTAATTCTCCAAACTTTATAAGTCAACCCGCATATAACGCGGTTTCGCTTACGTCTTTTGTAATTATTAATCCCCTTAAAACGCGGTTTAAATGATGTGTGTTGTACTAATTATGATTTTCTTAGAACGCGGTTCCCATACAACGCGATAGGCGGTTTGTATACAACGCACTACGAATTAGCATGATAAATCCGGATTTCTCTTAGCACGGTTTCCATATTACACGGTACCGCGTTATAGGAGGGTTGATTTTATATCACGATTTGGAGATTCAAAACATCAAACATTTTTGTTCTTAATGAAGAACAATTTTGTTACAATTTTCATACACCAACTATCCACAACATACAAGTACTTATTACTATATAAAATCGTATGAATAGAAATCATATTATAAAAAGTATAAATATTATAAGAAAAATTACCTGAAAAAATAATTACCTGATGAAAAATTTATCGAAGTGTAAACTTTACTCAAGAATAAAAAAACCAAAAAACTAAGAATTCCAAAGAACAATTACCGATATTTTGAAGTTCATATTCTAAACTGAAAAATTATTACAAAGTTTAATCAAAAAAAAAACTTTGTACATATTATAATAATAGAACCTAAAAATATAAAATAATTAGCAATCAACAAATAAAGATGAAAATATATTTGTATCAAATATAATTAAGAATAACACATAATATATAAATGTACCTAATGCGTAAATTTAATACTTAGAATAAAATTAATAAGTAAAACTTAAAATTGTACCAACAATAAAATACGAATAACACATGAATGGTTTCAATAAATTAGATTTTAAGACTAAAACTAACTATACAATTAAACTAAAATATTTTTAATTTTATATAAAAAAATTGAAGAAAATATTACCTAAAAATAGAGAATAACATTTTGGAAAGAATAAAAAGTATATATAAGATTTAACTTAATACTGTTAAACAAAAATAAAATCATTAAAGCCCTGCTATTAATATGAATTAAAAACTTAATATTTACCTTTGCATTTCCTAGATACATCAATTATCTATCTGCAAAATTTTGTCGCGTTTTCAAACTTATTAAATATTAATAAACTATGGATTGTAATTTTATCCTATAACAATTAACTAAGCAAATAGCTTATTAGCGCAGTTGCTCAACATTTAGCTTACAATTTTTTTCACTATTTTTAATGTTGTGCTCTATGAAAAAAGTGCTATCAATATTAAGTTAAAATTTAAGTATTTAAATCTGATAATTTTTTAAATAAAAATATTGTCTAAATTCAATTTTGTTCTATGATATGGATGGACGATAGATGTGTTTCGTTTTATGTATGATATGCTACAAAAGAATGTCTACACAATTTTTTAAATTTCTTTATCACATGTGTTAACTATGAATATGAGCAGGGACGTTTTATAAACTATAGCGATTTTTAAAATGCCAAGAATTTAAAATGGGAATGTTATAAATATCGGTAAACTTGATAATATTTTAAACAGGCTCGTAGAGAAGTTTTCTAGTATAAAAAAATAGCAAATATTTTTACATTAGAAGAACTGGCAAGATTTTATAATGTGAAGTATTATATATTTGTTTAGGCCAATTCTCCGAAAAAATAGACCATAACATAGTGTTGTCATGGCAACCCTATATTACACTTCTTTCTTCATATAAATTGGTAGTAAAATATTACGTCTGTGTTATCATGACACATCAGAAAGATGCAGGTATGATAACATTGTTTTTTTTGACGTTTGTGCGTTTTCTAGGTTAGGTTTAATATCTAAAACGCCTGACTGCACAGCAAACACATTGTATTTTGACAGTTTTTACTACAAATTTATATGAAGAAATGTAAAATAACAACGCCTATATTTATTATATAGGTATATTTCATCAGATAATTAGCTCCCAAATTAATGCTTGTATATGCTTATCAAATATTTCTCATATAGAATTTGAATGCAATACGTGCAAATTTGTAACTCTTCTGATTTAACCCTTTCCACTCGGATGCCGCTCCGGCGGCAAAATACATTTTAATCTCAGAATTCGCGAGTGGAAAGGGTTGAAGTAGCATTTTATATATTCAAGGCATAAACCTTACACTACATGAACTGCTAGTCCTCAGATGTTTTCCATTTTATAAAGTGTCAAAAGATAAAAGGGTACTGTGACGTCACTTAGTGAACGAGCGTTGTCGACAATCGTGGAACACTCCCGATTGATTAAATGTCAGAGGTCACATGTTTTATTTTAATAATATAATGGCAATTGTGTGGGCTGATAATTTTGTAAAACAGATATTATTAATATTTAATAAAATTTATCATATTAGTTAATGTAATTCTAATATTGTCTGTGATAGTTTTATTTTAATAATATTATGGCAACTGTGTGGACTGATAATATTGTAAGAATTTTGATATCAATAATAATGCCGGCCACAGGTTGGAGTGGGCCACCACAGTAACTCTAAGACTAGTAACATGGTTGTTAAGCCGCGCACATATTTATCATACTTCGATACTTGCTCAATTTAAAAAGCATTTGGAGGTTATAAACTTACTCTCGCACTGTACAGAGAAACGCGCTAAGAATTTCATAGAAAAAGTTTTTACCCTCGTACGCTCTTACGTGATTTGTCATCGAGTTTTAACGAGAAAAATTCAAGTAAATATGCAATATTTTATATAGACATATAATCTTAGAAATGCAAAGTGATTTTTGCCGATTATTTACATTGTGATTATGATAGAAGAGGGCCACTATTTGTGGACAGACATGGGCCATTTTAGTAATGCCGTTCTTTAGTAAACTGTAACACCTGTTAAAATAGGTTTATATATCATAAGGTCTATGTATATTACGTTTAATCAATCGGGAGTGTTCCACGATTGTCGGCAACGCTCGTTCAGCAAGTGACGTCATAGTCCCCTTCTATCATTATTCACTTATTTTTACTCGACTAGCAGTCCATGTAGTGTAAGATCTATGATTCAAGGTCTTTTTTTTAAATTTAATTCAAAATTAGAGCGGTTTTAAATTTAGGGTCTAATTATCCGATAAAATATAAACGCTATGTTACTGTCCTATCTTCGTATAAAATAGTTGTAAAAACTGGCAAAAACTATGTATTTGTTATGCCATCAGGGGTGGTTTCTCACATTAAAATTTGGTAATTAATTAAATATGTTTTTTCATATTTTTAATTAATTCATAAAAGTACATACTATACAACAGAGTGTGCACAAACATATTACCTTCTTATAGATATAGACAAAAATTAGCCGCGTTCATCATGTTTCTACTGCACTTAAGGCCGTTTAGTAGATCCGGCTACTAATTATAAGTAATTATTGGATAAGTAAAAAAATACTTACGCAAACATGTGAATTTTTCACACTGTGATCATAAATATCGCTCAAGCAATGCATCTTAAATATTTTTTAAGACAAAAAACACTGCCTTCTAAGTAGCATAGTCAAACATCCAACTACATGAACAACGACCTTCGTTGCAATATTAAAAATTCTGTTTCCAAATCCAACGTTTTAACAGAAAACTTCTCCATTCCGAGCCCTTTGTTATCACTATGAAAATGTTAACTTAACAATAATAATAATTAGTTTTCTTTGAAGTTCCTGATGATCGACTCCAACTCTCGTACCTTGCGCTCGTAGAATGCCAATTGTTTTTTGGTTTGGCGAAGTTCTTCCGATTGTTTGTTGTAAGCTTTGCGGAGCTAAAATAGATTAGGAATGTGTTTTTTTTTCAAGAATTCAAGTCGAAATAATTAATATTATGTCGTAAAACGGGATTTCCAAGATTGGAAGAAAATGAGTCCATCACCATACCATTTTTTCCTTGCTAAGCAGCAAAAATTTGAATAAACTTTTACTAACATTTCTAACTCATAGTAAATAGAGCCTCTTATGACAAGAATATGATCCAGAATTTTTTTGTTTATTAATGTTTATTCATATCACTTATTTCACATTATTCAAAGTCTTTGCAATTTAGTGCCCGTACAAAATTCCTTATTCGTACCGTTTTAATAGAGAACTATTGATTTTTTTATAAATGCGAAGAATTAATGAATGAATTAAATTTTCCAAAGATTTTGATCAAATTACAAAACACCAAGTGGATGTAATGGCTGCTATTTCAAAAACAGTTTCATCTCCATACTTAGCACTCACAGACTTAACAATATAGGTACTATGATATATGTTACTTTGTTAATTATTCTTTCATTTCAAGTGAAAGCACATATCGTAAAGTCGTGAAAATATCATTTTAATCATAAGCCAACTAAAGAAAATTTCAATAAACAAAAATTTCAATGCCAAAGATTTTCTTTTATTCTTATTTAGCACGACTTAAGCAATCTTACCCTACTTTAATGTACTAGGTTTTGTATATTTAATCCAGTGAAAAAATTCATTTTCCCGAAGTTTTGAACTAGTTCTCACACTTTTTACAAAAATCTCACGTTTATTAATCCTCATTTTGTAAAAAGTAATACATGAATGAAAATCGTGGTGCACTAAAATTGCCAAATTTGTAATTGCTATTACCAGCCTATCCAAACATATCGATTTTGGATTTAATAGCATTTTTACCTTTACCAGTGTAAAAAAGTAAAAATATGACAAAAATGCCGCCTATTGCTGAAATCTACTACGTAGAATCAATTAAACTTTTTCACACACTATCAACTTTCAAAACAAAACTATGCGCAAATATTATAAATTTAGAATCAAGTTATAAATATAAATACAAAAAGTATCTCATCCAGTGCCATTAGACAATTACTGAAACCTCACATCAACCAATTATTTATCATGAAACATAATAATATTTTACTGACCTCGTTTTCTGAATGGAATATATCAGAATTCGTAATAATTCTTGCAGGTGAGTTATTAGGCGATTCTCTATTTAATTCATTTGAAATAATAGAATTAACCACATTATTGTTGGCTCCATTACCAAACATTTGTTGCAATTGGTGGAACTTTGTGCTCTGGTTAGAACTCGTTTTTTGGTTTTTCTCGGTCAGCTGTAAAAATAAAACAATATTCAATTTCATAACTCAAAACTAACATGTTAACTTAAAAACAATCGAATTAAATTCAAATAATATATAATGAAAATTTCATTTACCTAGTTACCAGCTAATCATCCTAACTAAGATTAAAAAAAGTATATTATACTATTTTTACCGTGGTATCATTGGTGTCCATGGGCCTATAATCTGGTACAGTTTCGCAGGACAAAAATGCAAACTTCTTTTTGTTATTTTCTGAAACACCATTATGACCATTTTGTTGGACCAGAAGTTTTTTAGGCGCTCTATTCGTACCAGTCGTTGTTATTATATCAATGTTCTCGCCTGAAATGAATATTGTATTTAATTATAACTTAATACTAAATCAGCATGGCATAACATAAAATAGTCGATAGAAAAACCTATGGTAAATCCTCATACAACAATATCTAGTTATTAGAGTCATTCATAGGTTGCGCGAATGAAACTTATGAGCTGTTGAACGGAAATCGCGCTGCAAAAGTACCGCGTTATAAGAGGGTTGATTACATACATTTTGACTTTAACAATTGTTTAAATTGTTTCGCCTATTCTGAATTTATTCACCATTTCTTTGTAGCCTGTCTTATTATCTACGAATTCAATTATATTTTCAATTATCAATTACCCGTCTTCATGGAAACGAGCAAAGGCTGTGCATTTCTTCCCGAAGCCCATTCTTCTGCAGTCAATGCAGGTTTATCACTGGCAGTATCAGGATATAGATCAGCTTGGAAATGTGCAGATTTCCTGGGAACTATCATTGAAATCGGTTCGCAGATGCCTCGAGTCGCGTGCAGCTTGTAGAATCGGAATACTTCACATTGGGACGTGTCCAGGCCGCGTTTTGGCATAAATCCTAGACCTCGCTGGAATAGAAACAATATGGTAAATAGTAAATTAATATTTCATTTATATTATATTTACTGTTATATATAGATTTTGCTATCAGTTTGGTGGAATTACAAAGGTATTGTCTATTGTAAACTTTTACAACCCAACCGAACAATCAATTCGAACGTCTTCATTGAACAACTAACAAAATTGAACAATGCTCTTGAAAAAAGCGTCTAAAACTGAACAATCGAAAAAGTGTCACAATTCATCAGAACAATGCAAGATGTGTATGCCATCTTTGGCCACATGGCAAAAATTATTGAAAATTGGTTGGGATGTTTTCCCACATCCACCATATAGTTCTGACCAAGCACCATCTTGTAATTACTTGGTATTTCAATGTTTACAAAACCCCTTGAATGGTAAAACTTTTAATAATTATAAGCATATCAAATTGTTCTATATTATAAAAACAGAAGTTCAATAAATATGAGATTATAATGCTGATGAAAGATAGCAAAACGTCATCGATCAAGATGGACAATAAATAACCAAAAACAAGTTATTTCGTTCCATAAAATTGACTTTAATTTTTTAACAAAAATCCACTCTCACTTAGATGTCAACCTGATACTAATGTTATGACGTCTCCATTAGTTTGGCATGTTGTTTAAATAACGCAGCAATAAAGTTTATCTGAACTGCACTATGTATAGAGGTACATACATTGAAATTCACAAAATATCTTGATATTAAATTCCATTTAGATCCGACTTATTTCTAGAACTATGTTTAAACTAGTTGAAGGTGGCCTTAAGGTTGTAAAAAAATATCTAAAAAATCTCTATAAAAAATGTGACTCTGAGCCTAGGTTCCCAAACATTTTTGTGCAGTGGTATAAATATCCACTACCGTGGACTCCTATTTTCATTGTGTGCACCCAAAGCGGGAATCATACCCCTAGACCAACGAGCCACGGGTTGTACCCACTGCATCCAATGTACAACATGCCACGTGTTCTACTCAATAAACACATTTTACACATGATTTGCAACTTACGTTTAATATCTAAGCCGAAATCATAACCCTAGTCCAACAAGCCACGGGTTTTATCCAGTGCATGTTTGTGTTGGAACCAATGTACAACATTGTTGTAAATAATATGTTCTCGATCCAATACACAATACTGTAGTAAATAATATGTGCTCGAATTTAAAGAAATGTCCGGGCTCGTGTAAACTACATATATGATGAATAATATAATCATCAAATACTATTGGGTATAAACAATATGCATTGAATATTCCAGAGTATTAATAATAACTACTTTACGCCCCCGGGTGGGCTCGAACCACCAACCTTTCGGTTACAGCCGAACGCGCTAGCCAATTGCGCCACGGGGGCTCTTATCGCATCTTGATAATAGTAACACATCTCAATAAACACATTTTACACATGATTTGCCCATTGCGTGTTTGTGTTGCATCCAATGTACAACATTTTAAAACTTACGCGCTAGCCAATTGCGCCACGGAGGCTCTTATCGCTTCTTGATAATAGTAACACATCTCAATAAACACATTTTACACATGATTTGCCCATTGCGTGTTTGTGTTGGATCCAATGTACAACATTTTAGTAAATAATAGGCACTCGATTTTATAGAAATGTCAGGGCTCGTCCGGGATTTGAACCCGGGACCTCCCGCACCCAAAGCGGGAATCATACCCCTAGACCAACGAGCCACGAGTTGTACCCACGAGTTGTACGTCCCCGGGTAGGTTCAATCCACCAACCTTTCGGTTAAACTTTAAATATTACTAATGAAAAGGCGTTTGTTCGTTACTTAATTAACTAACCTATATTTACATTTAATAATCACTTATCCTAAAACATTGCTTATTCTAACATGGAACTTATATCTACACTAATCTGTAACCCATGTTGCATCCAATGTACATCATTGTAGTAAATAATATGTACTCGAATTCAAAGAAATGTCCGGGCTCGTCCGGGATTTGAACCCGGGACATCCGCACCTTAAGCAGAAATCATACCCCTAAACCAACGATCCAAATACAATACAATATTGTAGTAAATAATATGTGCCCGCGCTCGTCCAGGATTTGAACCCGGGACCTCCCCACCCAAAGCGGGAATCATACCGGGATTTTTTTTTTTTTTTGATGACGAGACCTCTTAAATGTTGTTGAATTCCTGGGGTTCATGTGGACCACTTTTAGAATTATAGGACTATGGTATCCACCATCAAATGAACAATCATAGAAATCGTCGAAAATAATTTTTTAACACCTCATTACAAGAAAACGGCCGGGCCGATCTTAACCAAAACTTAATCAGGTAAACCAACCAATATGCTTTTTTGAATTTTCAAAATCGATTCGAAGAAACGGCTTGGCTGATCGTCGAGAAAAATTGATAAACGCTAGTCCTCATCAAGATACACCGAATGCCTTTTAAATTTTTGAAATCGGTTCAGCCGTTTTTGAGAAAACGCCGATTTACGGCAAAAAATCTGTTCACATACACGCACACACATACACACACACATACTTTTTCCAAATGTTGGTCTCATTCGATTCAGAATGGCTTGAAACGTCGAGGAAACTAAATTAACGAATCGGATTTTTTGATAAAAACATAAACTTCTCCTTCGGGAAGTTAATAAGTTTAAGATTTACTAGTTTTGAAATACCTGTGGGTTTCCAGAAAGGAATTGACTTAAGTAATGCATATGTGGTGCATTATCGACAACCTCGTAGTAGCGAATGTTTCCATCTCCTTTACCAGCAAGATATATCTGAAACATTTAGAAAAAAAAATTATATAATTATTTTAATGTATTTAAAACCAGAAAACATACTGGTTATGATTGATGGTTTCATCTAGGCATTGGTTTTGATGATGGTTTCATCTATGCAAAAATCTAATGCTCTTCTTAGACCAATCCGTAAAGTTGATTAAAAAAATTTGATCGATGTTATACAAATTTTAATTAACAAATGAAAAGTATGTATCATCCATAAGTTACTGTGCAACTAGTAATTATATAACAAATAGAAACATTCCAAACTCATCCATAAAACTATTTATCGTATCTCGCAACGATTGCGACAAACCATAAAAATATATTATGATGATTTAGTAATTAATCGTCAACTCACCATATTCGTGTCATAATCGTAATAAGGAAAAACAATTCCTGAAGAACTGTCTATGACCTCAGTTGCCAATGGTGCACTAAGGTCGTGCTGATCCCAAACGGACCATTGTCTGTCGGAATGGCGAGAGAAACCAGTGGTCAATACACGTCCATTGGATAAAAATGTGGTCTTGCTAGCTTTGGTTCCTGTGTGACAAAAACCTTCCTGAAAATAGAGAAAGAAATATAAAAAATATATAAACTAGGTGAATGTAGCATTTAGCCTTATGGCAAGATGCATGAACTTCCCGAAATGTGTAAGAATAAACTTAATCAATCGAAATTGAAATTTAGATAGATACAATTTTCAACTGTTTTTTGTAAATAAAGTTATCGCTTTCAATTAAATCTAAACATTGCGATTTCGAATAGAATTATCTTAAACACACTTAAATTAACTGTGATTATATTAATTATATTGCACAGACACAGGACACAGGTTCCGGTATGTCCTAAAATTGTAGGTCACTATTTTAAATTTTGGTGAATTGACAATGTTTGACTCATCACATCACAAAAGCAATTTTGAGAAAACATAAATTAGCGAATCGGTTTTTTCATGAAAACAAACTTCTCCGTCGGGAAGTTAAATATTTAGTTAATTTAGTGAATAATGCAATATGGTGTTAGTTCATTACATCGTCTGTCATTCTTAAGTCTTATAAACCAATAACTGGTCTCTTTCCCTAAAGTGTAATACGATAAAACTCAAGGCACTACGTAGTATTAACTTCCCGTAGGGTAAGTTATTGTAATCATCCAAAAATCGAAATTAAAATTTTTTGCATTTCTCGACGTTTTGAAGGTTTCTGAACATTTTGGCACACCTCAGAAAAAATTGATGTGTGTGTGTGTGTTTTGTGTGTCCGCATTTTTTCGTTCACGTTTTCGGGCGCACGGATCAACCGATTTGAATGGTTCAAAAAACATTCGATTCCTGTTGATAGCGAGATGTGCTGATTAGTTTTTGGCAAAGACAGATTCAGCAGTTACGGAGATAAAGAGCAAAAAGTACAGAAAATAGAAATCGAGTTTTTGAGAGAACGGAGCATCGGATTTGAAACAACTGAAAAGCATTCAATTAGTAATGATTGGGAGAAGTGGTTATTAGTTTTTGGCAAAGGCAGGCCCAGTCGTTTCGAAGATACAGAGTTAAATGTGCAAAAAATTGCAGTTTTTGAGAGAATTAAGGGTTCGATTTGAAAGATTCACAGAACTTTCTGCTCGTTTTAACAAAATAATTGATTTTGGAAAAAAAATTGTTTCGATATTTTTTTTTTTTTTTTAATTTTTTGTATATCTAAAATAATTCAGATTTTATTCTTAATTCTGACTAAAGTTCTAATATACTTCAAACAAATAATTTCAATTCAGTTTATATAATTCTTATAAATATTTAACGATATTGTTCGAAAACATTTAATATTCCTCGAAAATTTAGTTACGGTACGGGAAGTTCCAGCAATTTGCCTTAAAGTACGATGCCATGCGCCCCACTAGTTTATCTGAGATTGAAGCTGTGCTTTTCATTTTGTCTAAGGGATATGAATTTAAATGCAATTCTTAATAAAATCTTTATTAACAAACGTTCAAATGCAAACGAACAGATGAATCACAATTTGTCAACTGATACAAAAATTACACAGCCGATTCTTAGTAACGAACATAAAATAATGATAAACCATTTGACCATAGATAAAAGAAGAGTATGCATATGCATTTGACAATATTTTTTCATCGGCTTACTAGCGCTAAATTTGCGACTGTTGGACCCCTAACTAAACCTTGTGAACGCGGATTTTGTTTTGAGACAATAGGCCCTGCTCTAAATGTCAAATAATAAATATTAAATTCAGTTGAAATCATTTATTTTTGAACAAGATTAAAAGTTGATTATTCTAAATTATTATTAAGCCCACGACTACTTTTGTAAATATTTAGTGAGATCACTGCATATGCAGTGAAAGTATTTAAAAATGTCAGAAGAATTAATAATATCTATGAATAATCAAGCAATTAAAAGCGAACCACCAGAATATTCGGTAGAAGATATTAAACCCGAAGTTGAGGATGAGTTTGATGTTTTCGATGATATCGTTAAATCTGAATCATGTACTGAGGATTATAAAACGTGTTCAGAAAAATTCATGAATTCCGAGGTGACTAAAGAAGAAGAAATTAAACAGGAATTATTTGAGACATCAGCTTATAAATGTGACATTTGTAATCGATCATTTGCCGAATCAGATCAATTAAAAGAGCATGTGGTCGATCACATGTCCAGTAATAGTAAAGAACGCCCATATGAATGCGAGATCTGTCATAAGACTTTCAAACTATCAAGAGGGTTGAAATCACATATGAATACACACTCTGAAGAATTTTCTTTTCCATGCAAAATTTGCAAAAAGCCTTTCAAAGATTTGGTTACTTTGAAAAAGCACATGCTCATTCACAGTGGTAAGCGCCCCCATGAATGCAGTATATGCAGTAAGACGTTTAAACAATTGTGTGGTCTCAAACATCACATGCTCATTCACAATGGTGATCGACTCCATGAATGCAGTATATGCAAGAAGACATTCACACAATTAGGTAATTTGAAAAGTCACATGCTCATTCACAGTGGTGAGCGTCACCATGAATGCAGTATATGCAAGAGGACATTCACACAATTATGTAATTTGAAAAGTCACATGCTCATTCACAGTGGTGAGCGCCCCCATGAATGCAGTATATGCGATAAGAAATTCACAAAAAAATGTAATCTGAAAAGTCACATGCTCATTCACAATGGTGAGCGTAACAATGTATGCAGTATATGCAAAAAGCCATACACAGAATTAGGTAATCTGAAACGTCACATGCTATTTCACAGTGGTGAGCGTCACCATGAATGCAATGTATGCAATAAGAAATTCACACAGAAAAGTGATCTGAAACGTCACATGCTCAAACACAGTGGCATACGACATCATGAATGCAATGTATGCAATAAGACATTTACACAAATAAGTTATCTGAAAAGTCACATGCTCATTCACAGTGGTGAGCGTCCCCATGAATGCAGTATATGCGATAAGAAATTCACAAGAAAAAGTAGTCTGAAAAATCACATGCTCATTCACAATGGTGAGCGTAACCATGTATGCAGTATATGCAATAAGACATTTACACAATTAGGTAATTTGAAAAGTCACATGCTCAAACACAGTGGCATATGACACCATGAATGCAATGTATGCAATAAGACCTTCACACTATCAAGAAGTCTGAAACATCACATGCTGTGTTGCCCCAGAGAAAATCCTTATAAATGTGAAATATGCAATAAGAGATTTACTCAATCCAGTAAATTAAAGAGACACATGGCACTTCATGGTGGGAAGTTTGAAGAAAATTAATGAATGAACATATTTGTTAAACTGAATTTCAATATTTGGAAACAAGTTAAAGTATCTTTGCATATAATATAATGTATATGTATATGTAAATAGTAAGAAATATACAGTACACATCACATAATATGCATTTATTGATAGTCAAAGCAATTGTTACATTTTATATTTTTTTAAGTTTATTTAGCTTAGTTTTAAATTGAATATTAACTAATGTAGATTACCATCCATGCTAATCTTGGTCAGCTTGTTATCAGATTTGTATTAATTTGTATTAATAATTTGTAATAATTAAAAAGTTTGTTTTCGCCAGAAAATCTGTTTTTCTAGTTTTATGTTTTCTTCAAGTTTCATATCATTCAGAATCAAATGAGAACAATTTAGAAAAAGTGTGTATTTGGGCCGATTTTTGACCTTTTTGATATACATATGATTACACCAAACTGCTCAGGCAAATTTCTATTTCAATTAGACTTTGATTTTTAGAATGGACGTATTTGAGCTCACAATTTTGAAAATTAAAAAACCGTTCAAAAGACATTGGTTGGGAATGATACTGATTAGTTTTTGGTAAACATCCGCAAGATCGTGTTCTTGTAATTAATTGTTAAACATTTTTTTTCGACAATTTTTATGTGTTTTTTAACAATAGTTATCATGGTCTTATAGATCATACTAAAATATTGCGACAAGTTTCATTTTAAAAATTTATCAAAGTTTAAAAAAATTAGTTGATTTATTTTGGCGATGAAGTTTATGCAAAAAACAGTTCTACGAAAATTGATAAAATTATATTATATAAACTAGTGGTGTAAGGCATAGTGCCTTAAGGCAAATTGCTGGAACTTCCCGTACCAACAGTTTTTTTAAAAAAAAGATTTCTTTTTTTAATCTTTGAAAAAAATTATTTTTGAGAAATTTTAAATTTTTTAAAAAAAATGACTTTTGGAAAAAAATGTTTTTTTCATTTTGAAATAATTTGGAAATTTTGAACTCTTTTCCAAAGCAATCGCACTGCTGCATAGAGACAAATTATTGAAGCGCTTAACGGACAAACGATGTTACAGAACCCACAGAAATGTAAACAAAATTTATACACATTATTAAAATCTCTATAAAATATCTGATAATTTTATGTGCATATGTCTAATGATTTTTACTTTTTTTATTAGATCTTAGAAAGTAAAATCTCTTTTGAATTATTAAAATCGGACGTTCCGTTCTCAAAAACTAATAAGGTACCGTTTATGGGACTTTGAGCACCGTATCTTCGGAACGACTAGACCTGCCTTTGCCAAAAACTAATTAGCACGCCTCCTTATCAATACAAATCGAATGTTTTTTAAATTATTCAAATCGGTTGATCCGTGTTCCCGAAATCGACGACGAAAATTTGTATCCGCACACACACATATCCATTTTTTTCTAAGGTATGTCAAAATGTTCAGAAAATTTGGAACGTAAAAATATATAAAAATTTTCATTTTCGATTTTTTTGCGATTAATATAACTTACCCTACGGGAAGTTAATAAACGAATAACAACAACAAGTTTGTCGAACCTTTGTCGACGGCTACAAATCTAATGACAATAAATTGAAAAATTAATTAAGCTATGATTCCAAATATTCAACTATGGTCCTAAATATTGATGAATATTTTGATGATGAAACAGGGTGTGATTAAGAATCAAACTTCATTATCCACATGGAGCGATGATTTCAATCAAATTCGTAGATCTCCAGGTTTGTGCAACAATGTAAGATAGTGAAATACTATATGGAAAATGGAATCAAAATATTCTATTATAAATCAAACATAATTTTAAACAAATCTGGATTAAAAGTGTCGAAATCAACTCACACTTAAAACCAGACCACTCCTTGGTTCTATGACCCTCAATTTCTTGTCTTTGCAAGTAGTAGCCAGCAAACTGCCATCTCTATTAAGGCTCATGCAATAAATCACATCTGGATGGCAATCAATGACATTAATTGCTTCTGCATTGGAGACGTCCCATACTATGATCTGCCAAAAAAAAGGAAAATGGATTATTTTAGTATAAACTTCTCTTCTGAAAATAATATGGAATAAATATTTCAAATGATGACTCTGTGTATCGTTAAATAGTTTGGGATAGTGATAAGGCATTATATCAATTACCACAGCATTAGTTGGAGATTTGTAAAAAAATTTATGCTCGTGATGTCCAAGTAGTTAAAACTTATTTTTATAATGATTTAATTATAATTATTGATGTAAGCAACGTATAAACTATCTTAAGCCCGATGCAGACGAAGCCAGCATTTCTTGTAACAGGATTTCTGTCAAGTTTTCTGCGTTTCCCAAAAGCTATTCATTTTTTCACATCGCTATATATGCACTAGGGAATGCAATACCGAAGGAAAATTTCAATATCGGTATTTCGATAATTTTTCATTTTAAAACCGGAATACCGGTAAATTACCGGTATTTTTATTATCTTAAACAAACGAAAATAATATTGAAAGTTGCTAGCTAGTACAAATATAAAAAATGTATATACAACTACAACTATATTTAACTAAACAATAAAAATAATAAAATAAAACAATAAGTTTATTGATTTAAATAATAATTTAACAAAATTATATCCAATTTAGTTAATTCATTATCATTATCGAGTATATTGAGTACTTTTCATCAAAAAAAAAAAACTTCTGAGTAAGAAAGACCAAAAACTCATAAAAGATCATATTACATTATTATAATAAACTGTATTGTCTGTATCCGATATGTTAAATTAGCATAATCTCCAATATTTAAAAAAAATTTTTTTTCTACAAATATATAATTTAAGATCGGATACTTTGTCGAGATAAATAATAAGTTACTATAATTGTGGAGTATTATTATTTAAAACAATGTGATGCTTCTATAGTATTTTCAAACTTCGAAACGCTTTCGAAAAATAATTGTAATAAATTTTATAATTATATTAAAAAGCAAAAATATTTAGTAATTATCATAATTATTATGTACAAAGTTAGGAAAAAATAAAGATTACGCAGAGGTAATCAGTATGATATAAAATATTTTGGCGCAAATATCACTTAAAAAACCGTTACATTTTTACATAAGATGAAACAAACATCATTATCTATCAGTCCAATTCTATTTATTGTAACACGATATGAAGCCCTTAGTAAAGCAATAAATATTTAGTTTAATAACGAGTTGAGTTGAGTTGAGTTATTTCCGAAGTTGCTAGGCAACGGTTATAGACAGAAATGTTAAGGATACCGCCGTTGTGAATAGAGCTTAAATTTGAAATCTGGCTACCAAGATCGTAAATTATGATTTATCACATCGTTGCTATTTAACATTAGTCCGGCATGCACTAATAAGGAAATCTGTGCACCGGGATTTATGTATGAAATTCATGAATCCTGGAATATTTTACTTATCTTACCAAATGATCAAAACCAGCGCTGAAAAGCACATTCCTGGCAGTGGGGTGCCATTCAACATATCCGACCCGCCTTTTATGACCTCTGAGTTCAGCAATCCAGTCCCTAAGATCTCCTCCTAGACCTCCATCAGGAATATGCCACAATTTGACTGTGCAATCGTCGGAACATGATGCAATTACATTGTCATCAAATGGGTTCCACTTTATGTCCAACACAGGTCCTGTGTGTCCAGTCACGCGAGATGCGTGGAAGTCAATTCGACCAGTCTGAGAATAAAAGATGGATGAAGGGTTTTATTAAAAAAAAATATACTAAATTATAAAACTATTGTTAATGGAAATTGTACCCTGAGCTATTGCAAGTTTGTGCTTTTCAGTAATATTAATTTAATCATAATTAAATGTGTAAACCGCCTGATCGCACTGATTTTACTACAAATTCAAACGAATATAGAACCGTAACATAGCGTTGCCATAACAGTTCTATGTTACAGGAGAATTGGTCCTTTAATATTTAAATAAATGATTTAAATTTAATGTAAATAAATTATCACATTTTGTTGAGCTGAACCGTTCAGCTGCATATTCTACGTTCAGCCTGAACGTAGAATATGCAACATTTAAAAACAATAATATAATTTTGAAAGTTTGAAACTTTATTAAGGTCAAATTATCAATAAAATATAATAAGATAGATAAATCTTGGATAGATAGATAGATAAATAAAGATAAATAGATAGATAAAGAAAGTATTCAAGTATTAAATAAAGAAAGAAAAATTAGTAAAATCATACAAAAACTGATTTTAAAATTGATTGATTCTATCGATAGCTTAATCAGTGCTTCAAACAATCGGCATATATAAAGACTTTAGATGATATGGATCCAAGAAACAATACAAAATAGTATATATTGGCAATGAACATAAATTGAACGCATTACTAACTCCCGAAGCAGAAGTTCATGTTTTCTTTAAAAAAATCCGATTCGCTAATTTTATATTTTCTCGATGTTTCAAGCCATTCTGAATCGAATGTAACCAAATTTGGAAGAACTATGTGTTTTTCCAGCTTCTGAAAAACAATGCTCCTATATCTTATATAGAAATTCCTCTGTAATGATGTATGAAAGGATACTCCTCCTAAACGATTATTCGGATTTTGATAAATCTTTCTAAAGTTTGTTAAGGGATTTTTTTAGGATTTTTGTGGCTATAGAAACATAGTTAGATTGTAGATATAAATGGAAAAAATACAAAAAACCGCTTATCATTGTCTGACAAATATTTGAAAATATTTGTGGCATTGTTTGACATTCAAAACGTTTTAATGTGTATTAAAAATTTCAATTTATTTAATATGTATGATAAATTCATGATTATGAATAAGAAAAATAAAATGTGTGCATTATTATTGACAAAAAGCAGCTAAGATGTGCCATATTTAAAATAATATAAGATACCGTATATGTACGGCAAATTGAATGATACACCTATGAACAGGATTTGACGAATTTATTCACTTAAAATTTGAAATTAAGTAATAATCAGAGCCGGTCCTACCTTGATACAAGATTCGGATATGAAATGTTGAACATAGTTTTTTTTCCATTTAATTAAAAAAATATAGGAATTCTTTGCATGTTTTACTAAACTTTGCACAATATTTTTAAAATTACGTTAAAAATTTCACTTTAAAACAACAAATGGGCAAATAAAAATGAATACATACAATTCAGTCCTTACGATATCAATTAGAAGAAGCTTAAGATTCAATTTTGGATATCTTAAATAATAAAAAAAATTAAATTAAAATAATCCAGCATGAAGTACCAGTGTTATGGTATGGCTATGTTTAATAATGTAAGGCTAGAATATTTTTGCTCTCTATGATTTGCTCTATAGAATAAAACGCATAAAATGCCCAAAATGAATAAGTAAAATGTCTCAAAAGCCAAGTATTAATTAATGATAAAAGTTTTAATAATAAACTTAAAAAACAGGTAAAATAATAGGGGAGGGGGGCGTTAGAAATGACAGGCGGGTGCTGAGAACCCCAGGAGCGTTCCTGGTAATAATGTGTATTAAATTATTACTAATAAAGATGTAAGTTAGATATCATAGTTACTAAAAATCGGTTAAAATATAGTACGAGATTATAAAAATTATATGCAACATTATTGGAGCAATTATTTGGGGTGGAAAAATCCAAGATAATATAGTACTTTTACCGCGGACACTATATATTATTTTTTTCTGAATTTATTATACCGTTTTAAAGACTTGAATTCCAATATAGTATGTGACTTGAGATCGCGCATGTTGATGTATATGCATTTTGGTGTGAAGAGTAATTTAAAAAAAAACAGTAATTATTATTTTCAGGTGAACGGTAAATATTAGTATAGGATATTAAAAAATTATAGACGTCGGTACAGGAAAACGTCTGTCGGGCCATCTAGTATATATATATATATATATATATATATATATATATGTATATATGAGGGTGGTCCTTAAAATAGTCATTTTCGAATTTCCTTGCTCCCAGGGGCCCAAATGGTTCCAAATTGATAAAAAACAATTCTCTGAAAGTTTTAGCTCTTAATATTAATGTTAGATAGAGCGCAATTCAATCAATTTTCGTATGGAAAAAGCATGGAAAATTTTTTGAAATTTTAAAAAAAATGTTTTAGGTATAACTTAGCGACAAATGAATGAGCTTTTTTCATTCATTTGTTCGCTAAATTACATCTAAAAACATTTTTAAAATATTTGAAAATTTTTCCATGCTCTTTCCATACGAAAATTGTTTGAATTGCGCTCTATCTAAATGTTAATATTAAGAGCTAAAACTTTCAGAGAATAGTTTTTTATCAATTTGGAACCATTCGAGCCCCTGGGAGCAAATTCGAAAATGACCATTTTAAGGACCACCCTAATATATATATATATATATATATATATATATATAATAATTTGATCAAAATTACCTGTTCGATGGGCAGCACCAAGAAAGCTCCACCTCCGGCAACTTCGGTGACGATTGCTACGAACTTGCCATTGACCGCGCAGAAGTGCGCGTCGTGTGCGTTACGCGTCACTGGGACTCCGTCGTAGCACCTCTCGCGTCTAGCCGGGGCGCCGTACACGTGACGGAAGCGCGACGATCGGACGCCGCGGAACCATAGCTGAAAGGGAAATTGATTTAAATGTAGTTAGTTTGTAAATCGGTAGAAAAATTTAATACTATTAATAAACATACACATAAGTACAGAAAACGGTGAAAATATAGACTAGCGTAAAACAAACGAGTACAAATACCTGGTTATTAAAATATAATCATATAAACGAAAAATTCCCAATGATCTGCTCTAAAATCTATCTCATAAATTTGTAAACGCTAACATTATTATTATTATTATTATTATTATTATTATTATTATTATTATTATTATCTTACTATTTCTATTATTGTTTATTATCTTATTATTTTATTATTTTTCTAGTATTATTTTATTATTCAGAAATTTTATTTATATTATTTATTAATTTTATTTTTATTATTATTTGCTTATATTTTATATCAAATCATATTACGGATATTATTTTCATGTAAATTTTATCCTTTGCACTTTTATTTATTTAATTTAATTTATATTTTGCTGGTACTAGCCTCTAACAATTTTCTTCTAACCTGAAGTAACTTATTCTTTATTTTATCACATGAAAATTATTCGTTCAATAACATATAACATGTTTCAATTACATATCGCTTCGAGTATATTAAACTAGTTAAAGCACGACGAAGTGCAAGTTTATAAAAAAATCCTTATAATCGCATTATGCAAAAAATAATAAGGGATCGATTCTGCATATAACAGAAAATGTTATCTGTTATGCTAATGAATCATAGTGAATAATACTGTCAAAATGTCATGTATTTGCTGTGCATTCAGGCGTTTTACAAATAAACTTGTATATTATGAAGCTGAGTCAGAAAGACCATGTTATCAAAATCGTTTTTTCGACAGTTGTGCGGCTTCTAGATTAAGTTTTCTATCTATTTTCACTGGACCTTATTGACCTTTAAACAACTTAAAGCAATCTCTACATGGAACTAATTTCTGGGGAGCACATTTCTTTCAAATTTATTATTTTCATAATCGAGCTCAATACCCAAAATAATGGCAAGGCCATGTTACGCTTAAACTTCCATATATTATGCTATTGAATTATACTGAATACCGCCAAAATGTAATGCATTCAGGCGTTTTACACACAAAACTGCAACGTCATTTGTACATTATGAAGCTGGGTCAGAAAGACCCCGTTATCAAGATCGTTTTTTCGATAGTTCTTCGGCTTCTAGGTTAGGTTTTCTATATGACAACCTGAGAAATATGCCTGATTGCTCCTCAACCAGATGACTTTTGTCAATATTAGTATGGAAAGTTCTTCATATCATAGCCTTGCCATAACATTTTTCTGTTATGCGGCAGAATCGGTGCCTAAATCTCTTTAATTTTTGAAAACAATATAGAACAAGACTTATACACCGTGGAAAATGATGACAGCTCAAGAAAAGCTTCAATAAACTATACTGCAAATAACGTAATCGTGCCAATTAAGTAATTTAAAACAAAATTCTTATCTATGAAATATACTTGAGGCAAATTTGGACGTATGGCACATCGTATGCAAAGCCAATAAATAAATAAATTTGTGAAAAAATCAAATCAAAATACTCAAGCAAATACTAGAGGCCCCAGATATATTGGGATTTACCATTCTAATTTACCAGGAACAAAGATTTCCGATCAAAAAAGACAAGAAAATCACGCAAATCGAAGCACCCAGAAGCTGCAATTGTAACTACGTGATATAAGCAATTAAAGTTACTACAACTCATAATACTGATAGGATACAAATTTACGATAGAATAAAAATTACTTATAAATTATAAGTAACAATAGTCACTTATAGTTTATAAGTAAATAATTAAATCTGTTTTTCTTTTCATATGCCTTCCTAAGCAGATAGTATTTCATAAAAATAATAACTAGTGGGGTGGGTAGCATCGTGCCTTAAGGCAAATTGCTGGAACTTCCCGTACCGTAACGAAATGTTCGAGGAATACTGAATGTTTTCAAATAGATATTATAAATATTGTAACATTGTCTAATATTTATAAGAATTGTATAAACTGAATTGCAGAGTTGAAATTATTTGTAAAGTATATTAGAACTATAGTCAGAATTAAAAATAAAATCTGAAATATTTTCGATATACAAAAAAAAAAAAAAAAAAAAAAAAAAAAAAAAAAAAAAAAAAAAATGGAGCAAAATTTTTTTTTCCAAAATCAATTATTTTGTTAAGACAAGCAGAAAGTTCTTTGAATCATTTAAATCGGACGCTTAGTTCTCTCAAAAACTGCCATTTTTCACATATTTAGCTCCGTATCTTCAAAATGGCTGGGTCTGCCTTTGCCAAAAACTAATAAACACTTCTCCCAATCAATAGGAATCGAATGTTTTTTGAACCATTCAAATCGGTTGATCCGTGCGCCCTAAAACGTGACTGGAAATTTGTATCCACACATACATACACACACACACACACATACACACACACACACACACACACATCCATTTTTTCTGAGGTATGCCAAAATGTTCAGAAACCTTCAAAACGTCGAGAAATGTAAAAATTTTCAATTCCGATTTTCGGCCCATTACAATAACTTACCCTACGGGAAGTTAATAAAATCTGAATTATTTTCGATATACAAAAAATTAAAAAAAAAAAATTGAAACAAAATTTTTTTTTCCAAAATCAATTATTTTGTTGAGACAAGCATAAAGTTCTTTGAATCATTCAAATCGGACGCTTAGTTCTCTCAAAACCTGCCATTTTTTACATATTTAGCTCCGTATCTTCGAAGTGGCTGGGCCTGCCTTTGCCAAAAACTGATAAACACTTCTCCCAATCATTACGAATTGAATGTTTTTTAGATCATTCAAATCGGATACTCCGTTCTCTCAAAAAGTCTATTTCTATTTTCTGCACTCTTTGCTCCGTATCCTCGAAACGGCTGGATCTGCCTCTGCCAAAAACTAATCAGCTCTTTTCCCAATCGATAGGAATCGAATGTTTTTTGAACAATTCAAATCGGTTGATCCGTGCGCCCGAAAACGTGACTGGAAATTTGTATCCATACATACATACACACACACACCCACACATCCATTTTTTCTGAGGTATGCCAAAATGTTCAGAAACCTTCAAAACGTCGAGAAATGTAAAAATTTTCATTTCCGATTTTCGGCCCATTACAATAACTTACCCTACGAGAAGCTTTTTCCAATTTAATTTAAATTGTGATACAAACACAATTTGTGGATACATTTTTTCGTAAGGCAGTGACTACAAATAGAGTGCACATCAAGAATAAAAATGATGTACGATTGATACTAACAATAAGTTGAATACCTTCATAAAAATAAATGTACCAAACTTTTAACTTTTCACGAGATCAGCTTTAGAAATAAATGAAATATCTAAAATAATAATCTTTCTTCCTCGAGAAAGGGTTAAAAAACCTGATTGAAGGACCTTAGAAAATGAAAATGTATTTTAGTTCGCAGTAAGTAAGTTTTTTCTGGTAAACATTAATCTACATACATCGTCGAGTAAAGCTTTTAAAGTATTTGCTATTAGTTGTAGAGATTGCGTTGTTTTTTTATTTAAATTCGGATTCAGTAAAGATAGACAAAAAATTTTAAAACTCAGATGTAGAACAAACCCCAAATTATTAAAACGTGAACCATTTTAAGAATCAAACTAAATCCAATATTTCTATGGAATTTAAAATCCATTTTTACATGCACAATATACAATAATTATTGAACCAATTCGGACATACGGCATTCAACTATGAAAAGCTTCACAAATTCAAAATTCCAGCTTCGAAGTCAAACGTCATAAAAGCTCAAAGATATCAAAATCAATTATTAAAAGAAAATTTAAATGCCCCAAGTTATGTTCCAAACTGGTTGACTCATGAAAAAGCCGATATCAACAAAGTAAACGAAACGTCACAAAGATCACCTAAACTTACTTCTCAAAGAATTCCCCCAGAACACTACTAGGGCCATATGATCATTCTACATTATGCTCGGTCTATCGCAGACAGATAATGCTGAGAATTTAATGCACATTCTTATTCCTGAAATCTTATTTGTGCTCTTAAAATAGTTGCAATAATTATAGTTAGTTATAGAATCTAGTACCTTAGTACAATCAATTATGCATTCAATGGAAAGATATCACAATTTGTGTGGAAGCTATTAACCGGAACTAGTTACCAAATTTGCTTGAAAGGAAAATAGGGGGTTCTAAAAAACTAAATTGTATTACTACCAGCAGCAATCCAAAGAAAATTCCTTTAACATTCATTGGTATGGTGTGTCCCCAAAAATTTCACATGTCTGTCCCAACAAATTTCTCATAACTAAAACGAAATCGGACTAATAAGCCGCATTTCTCTCGAGAGCCAGTTCATTCAATCGATTTCGCTTTCCATCGTCCGTCCTGAGGCACCTATATTACATTACACTGTATAATCGTCGGTAAATTATGAAAGGCGGCAATTTATAATTGATATATGTATGAAATTGCGTCTTGTTTTCTACACACTCGGATCGCGTGACGGACAACCATTTTATAATAATAACGCACGATATAAAAGGTAACACAAGGGGCTAGGACACATCATAAATAAGGAACTTCAACAATGTGATACGAGGTGTCCAAATTCATTAAACGTAATCATTCTCATATTCACACTTATGGGCTAATTCTAGGATAACGTATCAATGATTTGTTACTGGTCTCCTATGGTAACATAGCACGTATCAAATAAGATTTTGGAGGTTAGCTAATCTTGATGCATTTAGCTTATTTCAATAATGGACCGATTCTGCCACACAAGAGACAAATGTTATGGCAAAGCCATGTTGCGCTTTAACTTCCATACATTATGCTACTGAATCATACTGAATACTGCCAAAATGTCATGTATTTGCTGTGAATTCCGGCGTTTTGCACATAAGCTGCAACGCCACTCGTATGTTATGAAGCTGGGTCAGAAAGACCCTGTTCTCTAACATCGTTTTTTTGACACTTGTGC